GCACCCCAACTCCCAGCCCTGAGCCTGCACCCCAGCCCCCCTCCTGCACCCAAACCTCCTCCCAGAGCCCCCTGCACCCCAGCCCCTGAACCCCCAGCCCTGCGGCTGCACCCCAACTCCCTCCCAGAGCCCCCTGCACCCCAACCCCCAGCCCCTGAACCCCCAGCCCTGAGCCCCCCTCTTGCATCCTCCAGTGCTGAGCCTGCACCTCAATCCCCAGCACCCCAACCCTGAGCCCTCCTGCACCCCAGCCCCACTCCCGCACCTCCTTCTGCACCCCCCAGCCCTAAGCCCCCTCCTGCACCCCAGCCCCACTCCCGCACCTCCTTCTGCACCCCCCAGCCCTGAGCCCCCTCCTGCACCTCAGACCAGAGACCCCTCCCGCACCCAAACTCCCTCCCAGAGCCCACGCCCCTTTCTGCACCCCAATCCCCCAGGGCTGGCTCTGTGGACTGGGGGTTCTGCTCTGTGCATCCCGCAGGCTGGCCAGGGAGGACAGCCTCTCCCGGCCCCTGCTGTCCCATCCCCGGGGGTTGGCAGCTCATTTCCCATGAATTCCCAGTCGGTGCGGTCCCGTGTCTCGGGGCGTTGGGTGGCTGGGGCTGGCTGGGTGCTGCACGCTTTAGCCGGCGCAGTCATGCCCCGGGGAAGGGAGGGCACCTTTGTATCGGCTCACGCCCTGCTGCGGTTATCAAGGGCCTTCGCTCTGCCTAGCTTGTTTCGCTGCGGGAAGCGGGATGGCTCCTGTTCCGGGTCTGCTGTGCTGCGCTCGGAGCGGGCTTGGCCGAGGGAGTGACACGTGTATAACCAGTAACGCTGCTAGCAAATATCAGGGGGTAGCCGTGTTAGTCTGTATCTGCTAGCAAAGCTCTTCTAATGGAGACCCATTTCCTACCGACTTAACCCTCTGGCCCTGCTGTCACGGACTCACAGGTCGTGCCCACTCTTGGCCCCGTGCAGTCCATGGGGGGAACCCCCTTCAGTGAGACAGCCCTTCTCGGGGGGGCCACTCTCTCCCAGGGAGTTAAGCCCCTCCACCTCCTGGAGCCGCACCTCTCTGAGCCTTAGCACATCTGTCTCTACCATGGGCCACCTCAGGGAGTCCACTCGCTCTGGATCCCCCGGGCCTCCACTCCCCAAAGGGAATAATGCCCCCTGTTCTCTAGCCCTGAGTGACTCTCAGCCAGCGTAACACAGGAGGTTCATTGAGCATCTGAACCAGCACAGGAAACTCTCAGGGCCTTAGGCCTGGCCTCCCTCAGCCCAGCACATCCCAGGCTCCCCTGCATCCAGGTGGGCTCTGCCTGCTCCCCCTCTTCAGCCCCGAGCCCCCCTGCTTCCCAGCTGGGCATCTGAGATCACCGGCCCCAGGCCCCTCCTCTGTCCATTGTCTTCTCTCCAGGTAAACAGGGTCGTAAACCGGGTTGCCTGGGCCTCCTCTCCTCGTGTCCTCTGGTCCCTCTGGCTGGAAGGGGCTGGTCAGGTCACCGGGGTCCTCTCCCCACTGCCCATTTGTGACAATGCGGTTCTGGTGGAACCCAACTGAGAGTGCCAACTCAGGACAAATTGCTCAAATAGGGCAGTTAC